CGACGGAGGATCTTCCCCATGTGAGCTTCAAGGATCCCGCCCTCTTTCTCCGGGCAGACCCAGTGGAAAAGGAAACAACCCATCTTCTCTCCAGGGGCACCATGTTTTATTTTAAACAAAAATAACCGAAGGAAGATTCCGAAGAGAGCAGAGACAGGTTACTACTCATCACGCATCTGGTTTCAACGGACCCGACTCCCGGAGAGCTGGTTGCATGGGCACGAGTGTTAAAAGGCACCTCCTGGGAGGCCCGGGAGACGCGGCGAGCGTGCGAGCCCACCCTCCCGAGGACCCGGGCCCTCGGCCGGCCTCCGGGCGGCGGGAGGGGGTGGCCCAGAGACGCCCTGTCTCCCGCCTCTGCCTGCTCAGCCTTCGCTCCTTACCTGTGGATACGGCAACGGTAACCGACCTTCTAAACATAGGTTTTTCTCCTTTAATATCAGTAAGAAACATTTGTATTGTACTCGGGTCCGCAGAGGAGGAGGTGCAGCTGTCCAAAGATTAAACAGGCTGCAGTTGGAAAGACTCGGCCGCGCCAGAGCGCATGCAATGGGTGGGAATCCTTCGTGGAATTCTTAAGTAGGAGCTACAACTGCTGCAGGAAGAATGGGGAGCAGCCTACATCCATGGCTAATTTCTTGGGGGAGGCTCCTCAAGAGACTGGAAGTCAGATCGACTTTATATTCATTCTTGAAAACCCATCAGAGATACTTTTGCACTTGAAATGCCAATAAAAAAACACACAATTACCCATGTTCTTTTTACTCAGCCATTAATATACACTTATCCCTCAGTGCCTGGAAGATTCGAAGTTAAGTGGGCTGCACCCACCTCCCTTTTTGATGTCTGGGCTTATGTAACTCGTGTATGTTTTTAAGGTCCTAGATGGAGTATCCAGTTTGTTACAATAATACACAGATTAAATTCACAAGAGCCCCAGGAACATATTTCATCAAAACGGCACACAGTGTTTTAAATTCCAGCTGTTAGATTTGTTTGATAGTGACAGGCAAGCATGGGCTAGTATTTATGGAAAATAAACAATTTTCCCTATGCTTTGGAAGTAGATATTTCCTTAGGTCTCAGTTTTAATGAGCAAATGCAGTCAGAAATCCAGAAGGCACCATTCAGTTGACTTTGGAAACTGACAAGCTGAACATGCAAAATTTGTTCATAATGAGAAGTTACTAAAAGTTAAACGATCAACAGGCTAGTTTATAATTTTTAAAGAGGTATTTAGAAAGGCAAACATTACTAAATGAATGGAAAGCATATTTTTAAAAAATAGCTTTTGATCACATGCAACAGGTCCATGAAAAAGTCACAATTTTTGATATTTACATTTTTAATACCACATAAGTCATAAAGGAAGAATATATATATTTTCCTTTTTTTAGAAGCAAGGTTCTCTTTTTAAAAACATGAAATGGAAAGTAAGTAAGCTTTTAAAAGTTAAACCTGCTTTTTTTTGGGGAAAAAAGTTAAACCTAGCCATACACATAAAATTTCAACTACTAAAATGTTTAAGATTGAGCTTATAATACAGTTCTAAATTATATAAAAACACGCTTGTTTCTTCTATCTCATAAAGTAAAAATATCTTACTAAGTTAAATGTGAATGAAAATATTGTGGAAATGAGTTTTACATTTAAAAATTTGGATTTGCTTGGCAGGAGAAAACAACAAAAAACTTGTTAGAAAGAATAGTTGCATTTAAAATGGATGATCTGACATCTTCCAGTTCCTTATCCAAAATTATCAAGTAACTTTAAGAAAAAAAGAAAAAAAGAAGAAAAGTGTAAGTACTCTTCATATTATGCAATGATTCCCATATATTTAAAAAAAGCCTGCCATTCATCTTTCAGTTGGAAAATACACACTTTTTAAAATGCCATATACGGCTTGACAAGAGAAACCAACTCTATCAATTGTCATAATTAAGATGTTTCAGTGTAAATCACAATATTTCCTCTATTACACAATACATTTTCCTACTAGTAAGAGTACCAAGTCATTAAAGAGGTTTGTGTGCATTTCTGCTATACAGAATTTCATTTTGTTTAATGCAAGCATTTTAAAGCTTTCCCATGGAATACCTGTTAAAAGTGCACCACGAATGTCTGGTGCAAATGAAGCCTGTGAATGGAGTGCACCATCACCAAGCGACCCTGGGAGGCTCCCCCACAACCCCAGCGCGGCGTTCATTTCCGTCTTCCTCGTCTCCAGTCCACATTTTGTTGGTCCAGGAAGGCTCCACGGGCCAGACCCTCCCCCAACACCCACCATTGTGCTTGTACACACAGGGCAAATTCTGAATGGTTCTCATGACCAAATGCGGGCAGAAAAGGGGCAGAAAGAGACTCGAACCATTTTCGAGGCGAACACCACCTTCGGGTAACGCAGAGTGGTCTTCCTGTGCGTTAAAGAGTCCCCAGTTCTCCAACTAAAATCACTTAAATGAAAGTACCAGCCTACCCCACTCCTCCTCTGCAAACTACAGGAGGAAATGGTTTCCTTTTAAATGCCGACTTTCCCCCACGCTGCCTTCCCCCCTCCGGCCTTCGAGGCCCCGGGACG